AATATGCAAACTTCAAAGTACTCCTTTGAGAATTCAAAAGGCGTCAATTTGAATGCCAACCCAGCCTGCTTCAATGCTGTGGATATCTCCAAACTCCAAGATGCAGGACGCTCGTCCAAATTTCGCCCTTCTCTCGTTCATGCCTCGTGAAAATCACCCAACCAGCCGGTCGCAAGATAGATCACATCTACTCTCCATCCTAGCCATCCCAATGACTCCCATCAAACCCGGGGCTCAACGTCTTAAAGAATACTTCTCCCCAAATTACTCCACTCAATCCTCCCCCAAGCTCTCTCTAACACAAGCCCGACACCGTCTCCGAAAGTCCTTATTCTTGCCCTCGCGCTCCTCGCGAAACATGCGTGCGGCCTCGACGTTGGCGGGCGACTCGTCGTTAGGTCCGTGGAATAGGCTGATGGTGCTCAGCAGAATCGTCTCAGGGCTCTGAACGGGGCTCCACCGCTCCGAGGCCGCCTCGTAGCCGTACTGGTCCTCCTCGGGCGGGTGGAGGATGGAGATGCAGAGCCGGCCGTCCGGGTAGATGTTTGGGTGGAAGGGGATGGGCGTCTGGAAGGTGAGGGAGGGCGGCATGAGGGGGTAGTTTGCCGGGAAGGTGAGTCTGGCGCGGAAGTTGCCTCCTGTTTTTGGGGTGAGAAGTATGTCAGCCTATTGCGCGCGAGCAGGAGATGAGGGTTGGAGGGGGAGGGGGCATAGCCAGCTTGGTAAGCTCGAAGGGCCGAGTCTACTTTGAACAAGAAGCAAGCAAAAGGGAGAAAACATACCTCCATAATACTTGCAGTCGTCGCTGATCATGAGCATCACCTCCCACTCAAAGATGCTGTTGTCATTGACCAGACCGCACGAGATACCGGGAATGTCCTTTCCCGTTTGCATCTCCTTGAGCTGCCGACCCAGCAGCGACGCCGCAGCTGCAGAGGACGATGCCATGGTGTCGCAAGGCTCTGATCTGTGTATCGTTGTAGCTGTCTGTGTATAGGTCCGTGTGTATGTGTCGGGCGGCAAGGATCGATCGACGGTGACACCAAAACCGAGTCTCGAGTTGTTTGCGCTTGGAGACGTCACGAACGAATAATTGAGGGAAAGCTGACAGTAGGGGCGCGTGGGGTAATGCTCGTTTAAATAATTCGATGCGGCTTCGATTGACGTAAATTGAAGAGAAAAGAAGGCAGTCGTTCAGATGCCGGCTTTGTTGGCTCGAATTTTCGTCGTTTGCTCCAGTGCCTTGTTCGAGTGAGGTGGGAAAGGACTGGAAATATCCAGCGTGGAGAGGTTGCTGATGGCGGCAAACGGACCCGACCGCGGGCTGGTTGTCGAAATCGGAGCCAATGCGAAGGTGGGGTTACCCGAGCTGCAGGGGTTCGAGGTGCCGGTATCTGAGGGGCTTCGGTCAGCTATCTCACCGAGACAGACCGATAGAACTTCGGTGAAGGAATGTCAGTTTTGTGGTTGGGGACAGTGAAGACTTACCGTACCTAGAACCGACGCACCGCTTCGAATCAATTCACATCTTCACACGTCCATGATGACTCTTCGAAGATTGGGATCTTTCTTCCCATCGTGTTGCCAAACAAGGGTATCATTGCTCGCGTCCTGATCATCGTACAGCTCTCGGAATCGCCCGCCTCTCCCACCATAGCTTATTTCTTCTTCGTCCCTCCGAACCCCGTAATCCCCATCGCAGCCATCATATCATCCTCATCGTGCTCGCCCTCGATCCTCACATCATCTCCATACTCCGTCTTCACCTTCTCCGCTGCCTCTTTCTCGGCCCTCCTCCTCTCCTCCGCCTCCTTCCTCTTCTTTCTCCTCTCCTCCGCCTCCTTAGCATTCTCCTCCTCCCGCAACGCAAGCCTATCCTGCAAACTCGTCGCCTTCTCCTTTTCCAGATCCAGCTTCCTCTGCCAATGCCACTCGATCCTCTCCCTCACCTCCTCCGCACTCGCCCTCTTGACCTCGGTCTTCTGCCCTGTGTTCGCCAAGTGCTGCGGCGTGTTCAAGTGCTCCACAAACTGCTTGTTGTCCTTGAACGTGAGATCACACGGCTCGCAGTAGAATCCCGCGCCGCGGCCTCTCTTGCCCACGCCTGCGCCCGCGGGCACGAGCTGCGTCTTGCCGACCTGCGCGCTGAGGTCCAGGACGTTGCGCCGCGCCTGCGTGAGGGTCTCGTCTCCCGTCAGGGGCTTGTAGTATTTCTTGCCCGCGAGCTTAGCCTCGTATCGGGCTTTGGCTTCTTCTTTTTCTTTGGCCTCGCGGTCTTTGGCTTTGGCTGCGTATTCGTCTAGGTCGTAGGTCTTGCGGAAGTCGGTGTCGCCTGCAGGCGCGCCGTAGGCGCTTGCTTTCTTGTCGGCCATTGTTTGGGTTTCGTGGCTGGGTTCTCTGTGGAGGTAGGTACTTGGTGACGGTGCTCCTCGTCGGCAGCTTCGCGATCTGAAGAGGGGAGATACGTCGAAAAAGTCCAAGTCGGATTTGTTTGTTGGGCAGGACTCGCGACGAGCAATAGCGTGGTTGATGGTTACAGAGCTTGACCAGACGCGTTCGATGATGAAATTTAAAGCCTGGGAAGACGAGCTGGGGTCGAGTGAGGCTGCAGGGGTTGGGGATCAGAATTGGGAGGGGCCAGGCGAGACAGGGTCCAGGGGGTGCGATGGTGGGGTTGTAGCGCTAAAAAAAAAAGATACCTACCCCTCCATCCAATTCCCCCTCCAAGGTGTGGAAGAAAAAAGTTACGCCCAACTTCGACGAATTTTCATACTTATTGAACGACTGCCTGTGACCCGATATTCGAGCACGCGCCAATACTCCTCTCGGAAAGTTGCAGAAGAACAACCGCCAGAATGCTGTATCTCGTAGGACTAGGTCTCTCCGACGAGACCGACATCACAGTCAAGGGCCTCGAAGTCGTCAAGAAGGCCTCGCGAGTCTACCTTGAAGCCTACACGAGCATCCTTCTCGTCGACAAGGCCGTCTTGGTGCGCCTGGTCTTTTCAAACTGTTCTTTTTCCCGATGACAGGTTAATTCTAACACTTGCGTCAAACCATCTAGGAAGCCTACTACGGCCGCGAAATCGTAGTAGCAGACCGCGAAATGGTCGAATCCAACAGCGACGAGATCCTCCGCGACGCCCAGACCGAAGATGTAGCCTTCTGCGTCGTCGGCGATCCCTTTGGCGCGACAACGCACACCGACCTCGTCCTCCGCGCCCGCGAGCTCTCCATCCCCGTCGCCACTGTCCCCAACGCCTCCATCATCTCCGGCATCGGCGCCACCGGCTTGCAGCTCTACAACTTTGGCCAGACCGTCTCCATGGTCTTTTTCACCGACACCTGGAAGCCGGCCTCCTTTTATGACCGCATCAAGGAGAACCGCGAGATCGGTCTGCACACGCTCGTCCTGCTCGACATCAAGGTCAAGGAGCAGAGCCTCGAAGATATGGCGAGGGGACGGAGGGTCTACCAGCCGCCGCGGTACATGACTGTCGGACAGTGCGCTGCGCAGATGCTCGAGATTGAAGAGGATAAGAAGGAGGGCGTGTATACGCCTGATAGCCTGGCTATTGGAGCGGCGCGCGTGGGAGGCAAGACTGAGAAGTATGTTGCTGGCACGCTGAAGGAGCTGTGCGATACGGATGAGATCCTGGGTGGTCCGCTTCACAGCATGGTTCTCCTCGGCAGAAGGGCACACGAGCTGGAGCGCGACTACATTCGCGAGTTTGCAGTGAACACTGAGACGTTTGACAAGAGCTGGGCTGCGGACTATGGGAAGCAATAATCGTCATTCATATCCCGTGACTGGGCGGGGTTTTGCGGCTTATTCCGCCGATAACCTTCATCTACTTTGTGCTATTATTACATGCCGCCGCCATTATTACAACTCTTACGCATCTTAGCTCAAGAGGAAGCTGAGCGGTACTGCTCGACCTCCTGGGAGGAGACTTCTCTCAACTTATTGACCTTTGCCGGGCTGCCGGTCACGACACCCTCGGCCAGCTGGGCGACCTTGCCGATGAAGGTGGCGTTGCTGAGGGCATAGGTGATGCTGACGGTCTTGACGCGGATGATACCGATGCGGGGATCGTTCTCAGAGCCGTCGTGGGTGCCGTCACCGAGGTCACCGACCCACGCCTTGAGTGCAGGGCTGTAGTGCTTCTTTACCAGCGAACGGTCGGTAATGACGCTAGAGACACCAGAGACGGAGGCCCAATCACCTGAGCTGTTGATGAAGGAGATGTTGATGTGGGGATCGCTGTCAATTTCATCCGTCTTGTTGGACTCGGTGTTGGTGTGGAACAGCAGATCAATTCCGCCGTTTTCCTGGGTAGATGTTAGAAAGAAAGAGCTCGTGAGAGGCGTCAGGGTAGAAAACGAACCGTTGCGGCCAGAGCCATGGCGCGAGAGACGAGAGCGCCAGACTTTGCGTCTCTGGTGGTCATCATGGCAAACTTGGTCTTGTCGGCGAAGCTGACAAAGGCCTCGACCTTATCCTTGACGGAGACATCGTTGTCCTGGTTGGCTGCCTTGTAGGGATCGGCGGGCTTGCTGCCGGTGGAAGTGTTTGAGAAAGACATGATAAAAGGGGCTCTTGGGAGTTTGTTTGTGGTTTTGGGAGGATTGATTAGTCTTGAATGGGATTGAACGCGTCGATTGAGCTGAACAGTCCGAATGATGGATCGTGAGAAAAGTACAGGAGAAGACATTGAGTTGCACGAGGGAGGTTCTTGTAGAAGGAGTATTTGAACCCCCTCCTACCTAGGGCGGCCCCTCAGGCGAGCTGACGACATTGCTGTAGCTACGTGCAGCCAGGCACGACCGATTTCATCATCGAAAAAGCACGTTGGGAAAGGTCTCAAAAGGAATTACCTAAGGTAAGGTAGCTAGCTAGTGACTGAGCGACGGCCGAGTGACCACGGGTCGCAGTGTCGGTCGCGCGGAGGTTAGGGAGCTTGAGCTGCAGAGCAGCAAATGGGCGAGACATCATGACGTCAAGAGCAGAGGGGCAGATGGCGTTCGTTCCTGCCTACCATAGAAGGGGCCAGCCCGCAGTGGCACCACGGGCAAATGGGGTTCCATGAGGTAAGGTAGCAAGGTAGGTAGGTAGGCAGCTCCATGAAAGTCTCGATGAACGACGCGTTTTATGGGGTTAAATTCATCATTGATCGTCTTGTTTGCGTGGTCGGAGCTGGGTTGATGTTGATATCGGCACTGGGCGTGGAGTGCTCCATGGGAGCGAATCTGCTGCTATGTGGCATTGCGTGCAGTGCACATGAACCATGGGAATTCCTACTTAACACATGAGCTCCTCGGTCGAGCTTCACTTACGAAGGTAGCCTGCCAGTGGGGAGCGTAGGTCTTCAATCAATAAATGCCCAGACAAAGTAGCGCAATCCGAGCTTCGATTTAGCCTTTCGATTGCGACTTGTGTCAGCGGCGTCAGCTGTCGCCGGTCTGTGTGGCATTTTTGTTCTCCATAGTCCAGTCGCGATGCAGATGCGAGAGGCACAGGCAAAAAGGCTGAAGGCATTGACAGCCACGGAGAGACAGAGGAGAAACGATTAGTGGTTACTCCGATTATCTGGGGTAAGAGTTTTTGCGTGATTTGGAGGATCAGACTGAGGTGCTCTATCGGCAACTCCCACAATGCCGTGACTGACGAGCCCGATGCTGCCACCAAACAACGATCGTGATCGGGAAGCTACAACGGGGCATCCGTACTTGCCCTCGTGTCTCCTTTCCTGCCTTTGACACCTCTCTCCAGCCTTACATAATGCACCTTATGTCAAGGCAGGTAGGCGCACTCTGTTTACTTTCCTATCCACCTTATGTAAAGAACATTGCACGGTACCTCGTATGCAGCACTGCGAACTGCGGCTGCCCTTCGGTGTAAGTCCAGATCGGGATCGATCAATCCAAGACATACATTAGGTCAAGATGGAGAGCTAGACAGCCATGTTTGCGCATGTTAGGCGCTTGTTTTCTTCCTGGCCTACTTCTGGATACCCAGGCAGTTTGGCACGTTGGTAGAGCATATCCAATCGCTGTTTGTCAAAGACGATTCCACCAAAGAAAAGAAGCGATTCTCATCTCTGATTGCTGAACGTCTGACCTTTCGTTTCCATACGGCTGCAATTGACTCCAAGAGCCCAGAGCAGATTCGGAAGCTACCTCAAGTACTTCGTACCCACCCCTGTATAGGTAGGTACCTTACGCTAGGTACCTCTTGCCCCTGCCCCTGCCGTCCCTGCTCATCACTGCTTCGTTTCTGTGGTTGCTTCCCTCATCTTCCCCCCAAAAGCATCGTCATATCGTCCATCCAACTACTCATGGGAATCTTCAATCAATGCATCCAATCTGCGAGTAATCGCCGTCGGGCAGTCGCAGAATGCCCCACTAAATCATGATTCAGCCGGCCAATTGCCTCGTCCAGTGTCTCGTGTGTCGTGGCAGTTGCTGCGTGCGCTTCCCGTCCAGGAAAGATACAACAGTTCTCGTTCCGTTCAGCACTTTCCCCCGTCAAATGCAACAGTTCCTACCGTCGTTAAACACATTCGCCTACAGCAGGCGCGAGGATTGCAACCCCATCCCACCTCAAGCTCGCTACCTTACTCCGCAGCGAGGTGACTACCTAGATGCCAGGCGAATTAATAGTCTAAGACAAGTATCTCACATTAAATGATTCTTTCCCGAACCCAGCGCCTGCATATTGATACCGGCAGTCAGTCTCGTGGTCTGAAGACAGAGGTACCTAGGAAAGAAGAAGGTGCGGTCTACAGCCTGCCTGCCTTCCAGCAAAGAAGCTCACGTCGGAGTTTCGGCGGACATCGGCACCGTCAAAGCTGAAGAGCCTGAGACGGCGCAACGTCGCTTGCCTGCCGAACGTGGGAGCAGGCACCTTCCTTACCTCACCGACCTCACCTACCACCTGAGTAAGGTAAGGTAGGCAAGCACGACCATCCACCACAGCCAGACAGGCGGAAAGGGAAATAAGGACCAAAGAAGAAACAAACGTCGGCGATTCTTGCTGCCACTGGCCGCCGTCACCGTCACCCGCACTCCACCAGAAGGTCCGTCCAGTCCTCACCTGCCTCATCCCCGTCCCGTCCACTTTCCTTCCCTCGCCTACGCGCAGATCTGTCACCTCTCCCGGCGGCGTCGCTTCGCATTTACCCCTCGTCATCTCTCATCTCTGGAACCTTTTTTTTTCCCTCGTGATTGCTCCCTTCAACATCAACCCTCCACCGCCCCTTCTTTTCCTTCCTTCATCTACGCCCAGAGTTCAATCCCCACTGATGAACCACGTCAGGTCCGCTTAGATTGATTTACTTCAGTCTGCCTTCACCCTCGCTGACCCTGAATCACAATAGAACAGGCGGGCCAGCAGACGGCGCGAAAAACCGACAAGCCGATTCCGACCCGACTCAGCTGCGAGCTTTTGTCACCTTTCTACGGATACGCTAGTGATTAACCTCTTCAACGACTCGATAGCCCGAACCGACCACGGCCAGGACTCCCTCATTCGGGCATCGTCATCCGTCACTGCCGACTTGTTACCTACGACTCGGCCACTGAGGAATTTCTTCCTCTCTCATCTTACCGCCAATTTGTTCACCCGACCGACATCCGATTGTCGGCTTGGCCGACTTTTATTTCCACTCCATCATAACGTCAAGACGAACGCCCGAACCACATCTATCTCTTTTTTTTTCCCCCTTCAAACCTTCGTTTCACTTTTTATTCTTTCTCCAGTCGCGAGTCGCATCGCAAGGTCACTCGCTGTTCTCCGTACTCACTCCGGCCAACTGTTGTACCCTGCGTCACCAACGTCAAGGTTCAACCTACCTAATCAGTGGCGTTGTCTCTTTGAGCCTTGAACAACGCTCTGGCCGGAACTTGCAAATTCAACCCCCATCCACTTCTCGTCCAGCAACAAAAGATTGCCGAACTCCAAACAGGCGGATCAAATTTTCGAGTCCCTCATCCGCGCCCGCATTCCACCTCGACAGACCGAGACCCATTCATACCTGCCACGAGGCCGAGGAACCCTCCTAATTTGCAACCTCGCCGGACTCTGCAGCCCAATCCATCGCCATGGCAAACCGAGAATTCGTGGGTCTATCTGTTTTCTGCTTTACTTTTGTTGCACGCTAATCCATAGTCAGGAGATCATGCCATGGGAGTGCCGTGATGTCGAGGATCAGGCCGAAGCCTACTACAATCAGCCTCTCAGGTCATCGAATCAGGCTCTCGCTGAGGAGAATGCGAAGCTGAAAAAACTGCTCCGAGAAAACGGCATCTCTTGGTCACCTGTATCCGCCAACTACCAGAACCTCCAAGCAGGTGCCAGGCGGAAACAAGACCCCTCTTCAAGAACTCGCTCCTTTCCGTACCTTCCAACAGAGGTCCTCCTGCGCATTCTCAAGTACTCGATGACCTCGAAGGACACGATTATCGACCCCTTGACGAAACTCACGCCGGACAACCTCACAGCACAGGAGAAAAGCCGCGGTAATCAAATCGCCATCCACTTCTTGGCGACATGCAAGGCGATGCACGACGAAGGCAGCCGTATGTTCTGGAGCCACAACACTTTCACTTTCACGAATGAACATGCCGTCAGAAACTTTGCCGAGCTGGACTTTGGATTCCGAAAGGACATCAAGCATGTCAACTTCCGCATCGTCGCCCAGTTTTACGACGACAAGAAGCGAAAGCACAAGCTTGAGCGATCCTACCACCCGTCTCTGAAGAGCGACATCACACTGCGGACGATTCCTCGCGTCAGTGAGCGAACCTATGCCCGTGGCGGCTTCCGCTGCTACACGTGGGCTCAAGTGACGGATTTCCTGCGTGCCCTCCGTCCTCCCTTCGATCCCAAGCATGACAAAAAGCTAGTCCGTCCCAAGCTGCTTCCTGGCCTTGAGTCGCTTAGGATTGACTTGGTGAACTTTATCGACGACTTTCTCCCTATGCCTAGCAGCGACCTGCACGACGTGGCATCACACGAGCTCGGTTGTTCTCTGAATGAGTTGCAGGTCACCGGTCTTCCGATTGACGATGCTGGCAGCAAGGCCACCGCAGAGCTTACTGGGCTTCTGCGCGACGAGGGCCTCTTTCTTGCTGGCTTGCCCTCGTTTGTTCAAGTCAAAAACTCCCTGAAGCCTCTGCCGGGCATCTCGAGCTGCGCGCGTGTTGTTCGGGCCTGGAAGACAATAAAGGCAAAGCGGGAAGACGACGGTGATTCCGACTCTGACCCTGGAAATGAAACTGATGAAGGCCACTATCATCCTAAGGAGCCCATCATGCCTCCTGCGCCCCGTGAGACAGGCCATCCCAAGTCCGCGCCTAGCCGTCGGGACTTGACGATCTGGAAGAGGGTGCCCAAGAGCCGCGACGGGGATGGTGATGACCGCCAGTGGACCGAGTTCTGCCGCAGCAGTGGCTACCCCATGGAGGACATTGAGGATATGATGGGCGACGATGACGAGCTTGGCATCTGCCCGTGTTGTGGCGAACCGCACCCTAGTCTCTTGGACCTCCTCGAGACGGACAACGAGGAGGATATTCAAGAGGACTAAAGTACACGTTCGACTCAGTTGAGTAGGCGGCATTTGGTGGCGTTATTTGGAATGAGGGGCCCGAGCATGTCTAATGATGGAGAGCAACATGGCGAGGCACCGTTACACATGGTATTCGGGATATGAACAGGGATCATGATTCATCGGATGGAAAAGCTCACGGAGTTACTTTGCACAGGTCACGAGATTATGATACCACATTTTGCTCAGGGCACATAGATACCATGGTTAGCCATTAATAAGGCGTATGAGGCCAGCCTCTGTCTCAGACAGAAAGTCTGGCAAAATCAAATTCTTCTCTACTTGTGCTTCCCTACCTAAGCACCTCCGCCGTCCCCGATTCTGCGCTTGAAGGTGACGTTCCTCCAACGTAACTGGGTCGCTGCCCCTGCTCTCAAACTTCAAAGGCTAGTTCCCATGTTTCTCCGGTAGAGAACAAACCTGCTCTAAACTCAGCACACTCGATGCCTCTTACAGAAGTCTGTTAAGTTGAAGCACTTTGCGACGCAACTCTGTCTCCACGTTAGCAAGTCGAC